GGTGGAGGAGACGGGAAACAGCGGGACGGGGGGGTACTTACTTCCACCTTCTGCTTCCTCTGCCTCCCTCCCGCGGGCCCCGCCCCTTGGAAGGTGGGAAGGGGAAGGGGTGAGTAGACCTGGACTCCGGAGGCCAGGTCTACCAATGTAGTGGGAAGGGGTGGGTAGACCTGGACTCCGGAGGCCAGGTCTACCCATGCAGTGGGAAGGGGTGGGTAGACCTGCCCTCTGGAGGCGGGAGTGCGCTCCAGGGCAGGGGGAGGGGAAGATCGAGCCTGGGGGTGGAGGAGACGGGGAACCGGCGGGATAGGGGGGGAACTTACCTCCTCCTCCTGCTTCCTCCTCTTCCTCATAGGTGTGGAGATCCCCCTCTCCCGCGAGTATCGCGGGTCCCCCCCTTCTAAGGTACTAAACATCAAGTATTAAGGCCTTCGCTGCTTTTGGAGAGTTCTCCAGACTTTCAAGCCAGAAGGTCTAGACTCTTGTTTTCTTCTAAACCTCAGGTTTTGTTTCTTGAGATGCTGGATTCTACATCCAATACAAAGAAGAAACACTTATGCAGGATTGTGGTTTTCTTTTTTCCCCTTTTTTTCCTGTATATTTTTATTAGTTTTCCCCCCCTTTTTAAACTTTTACAACGCATGTAATTCAATTTCTTACAATTTCCGCCCCTTCCTCCCTCCTCCCTTCCCTATCTTCGTGTTGTCTTTAGTCTTTTGACCCCAGCCATGGGCACAAAGTTCCGAGATCTGATGAGATCAGGCTAGCCTGCCATCTGGGTCAGGGACCAGACAGCTTACGTAATCCCACCCCCCAAAATCTCCCATTTAAATTAAGATTTTATTTGTGTTTTTAGTTCCTTAGAATCATAGAATGTTAGAGTTGGAAGGGACCTTGCAGGTCATCTAGTCCAACCCCCTGCACTCTGCAGGAGCATAGCCAAAAGTTGGCCCTACAACATACCCGAAAGATGGTCATCTAGCCTCCGCTTGAAAATGTCCAGTGAAGGAGCATCCACCATCTCCCGAGGCAGTCTGATCTTCGACGTGGTCTCTGTGCTTCACACCCATGGGATCTAGTGCGCACGTGCTGGATTGATCAGCATTGTAGCAAGCTCTTAACGGATTTTTGTGCCTAGACCTCGGGCATGCGCAAGAACCCCACCGCGCATACACAAAGGGGTGGGCGCGGACATCCCGCCAGTTTCTTTCGTACCGCCACGTTGGAAAGACCCTTTCTTCGTCGGTCTGATCGGTTCATTTTTTTGGCTACTTCGCCTCACGGCTCTTCGAATTTTTTCCTCAGTTTTATTATTTTTCTCACTCTTCTTACGTTCTTCAGAAAAACTTTTTTTTTAATTGTTTTTTGTGTTGAGGGGGAAGTTGCCGGTTTTACCTCAGTTTAGCCTTCGGGCTCCCCCCCCCCTTCTTTTTCCTCCTCCTGGTATTTTTTATGGAGAAGAAGTGGGGGGTTTTCAACCGCTGTAAGGGTTGCGGCAGCAAACTAGCTCCACCTGACAGCCACACCCTTTGTATTTTTTGTTTGGGGGAGTCTCATCGACCTGAGTCTTGCCGGCACTGTGCCAGGTTTTCTAATCAGACACGAAAAAACCGAGCTGCGCACCTTAAAGTGGCGCTCCTTGAGTCGGCTTTACATCCTCCCTCAGCAATGGAGTCTGAATGTCCGAATTCACAGCTGTCAATCAAATACACATTTGTAGCAAAGTAATATTTATTGAAGCCATGAAGAAACTGGAGCAAGTTTACTGTTTGGAATAACTAGAACGGTCGGGGCAAAGGATAATAAAGCAGGTTCATAATGACAATAACCATTGTTCCCGCTCACGCGGGTGGGCTATCATATTTGCGCCCAGAGCCTGAGAATCAACGGTTTCCTAAAATATAAACAATTTAGCTCTTCTCACACTCTAGCTCATTACAGACTAAGCGAAACCGACTCTTCCCCGCACCTGTGACCTTGCTGATTATCATAGTTCAAAGCTGTACTAGGGTTCAGAGAAAGGAATGCATGAGACAAGCAGACGTGCGCTTCATTATACCAGTAAGCATGCACAGTTGGGTATCGCTAGGGCCGAAAGGGGGGGGGGAACAATACATGTGAAGCTCAGGCATTACACAGAGTTATTTGGCAGCTTGCTGACACCGAGAGACCATCGACATCGACGGCTCCGGCATCGAGACCTGCCTCCGACATCGGCCAACCAACATCGAAACCACCGGCATCGAAGGCACAATCCTCCGCTTCCACTCTGGTGAAGAAGAAGCCCAACCCAAGTAAGGAGCACAAGTCCGCAAGAAAGGGCTCCTCTAAGTTCCTAAAGGCAACAAAGAAGGGGAAGGTAGCGGTGCCTGCA